GGGGCCCGCGCCCCGCCACCCCCGCCCGCCCCGCGCCGCCCCGCGCCGCCCGCCCGCCTGTTACCATGGCCGCTGCCGCCGGACCCCGCTCCCTCCTGGCAACGGTTGCTAAGGCGCCAAGCCGGAAGCGCGGCGGGGAGCGGAAGTGCGCGACGACGGAGGGCGGTGTTCAACAGGCGAGGCCACGCCCCCGCACCGGCCACGCCCCCTCCAGCTGGCCCCGCCCGAGGCAGCGCGGGGGTTGGCTGCGGGCGGAGCGGGTGCGCGTCGGGGGCGTTGTCTGGGCTCGCACGGGTGTGCGCCGGGTGATCGCATACTCCCGCTGTGTGTGTTCCTGTTTTATTACACACACACGGAGACACACGCGTGCACATACGTTTCTCATTGTGTAGCTATTCCTACTAGACACAGACGCACGCGCACACATATATATACACGCATGCATATACACACGCACATATATATACACACAAGCACGCATACACTTCCAATTCTGTATATATTCCTGTTCTGTTACACACACACACACATGCATGCACATATATATACATGCATGCAACCATCTCCTATTTTATTACATGTACATACACATGCACACACACATATACATGCACACACACTTCCTATTGTATATATCTGTGTTTTATTACACCTGTATATATACACGCACACTCACTATTGTGTATATATTTCTATTTTATTGCACACACATATATATGTGCACATACACTGCTTATTGTATATACATATTACACATAGACACACACACAAATATATACACACACACATGCGTACACTTCCTATTGTATATATATTCGTATTTTATTACACACACACGCATGCGCACACATACACACGCACATATGTGTTCTGTGTGGAGTGGTGTCTTCAGACAGCTCCATGTGGGGGATGCGGGATGATCACAAAAAGCTCACTGAGTCCCAGTGACACATTATTACGTGTGTATTTGTGTGTGTGTGCTGGGGTCAGACTGGATGATCTAATGAGGTCCCTTCTGACCCTAGCATCTCTGAAATACACACACACATTTCCTATTATATATATAGTCCCATTTTATTACACATGTATGTTTGTGCGTGTGTATACACAGACACACGTGGTGCATAAGTAGAGTCATAGATTTCATAGATTTCATAGACATTCGGGCTGGAAGGGACCACAGAAGATCATCGAGTCCAGCCCCCCACCCAAAGGGCAGGAAGTCAGCTGGGGTCATAGGATCCCAGCAAGATAAGCATCCAATTTGCTCTTGAAGGCGTTCAATGTAGGAGCTTGAACCACCTCCGATGGCAGGCTGTTCCAGACCTTGGGGGCTCGGACAGTAAAGAAATTCTTCCTTATGTCCAGCCTGAAACGGTCCTGTAGTAGTTTATGACCGTTCGACCTCGTCATCTCTTGAGGTGCTCTGGTGAACAAACGTTCCCCCAGATACTGGCGGTCACCCCAATAAACTTGTAGGTGGCCACCAGATCACCCCTGAGCCTACGCTTTTCCAGGCTAAAGAGCCCCATGGCTCTCAGCCTGTCGTCATAAGGCCTGTTTTCCTGCCCTCTGATCATGCGCGTGGCTCTTCTCTGCACTCTCTCAAGCTTCTCCACATCCTTTTGGAATTGTGGAGCCCAAAACTGGACGCAGTACTCCAGCTGCGGCCTCACCAAGGCCGAGTACAAGGGGAGAATGACGTCCCCGGATTTGCTTGAGAAGCATCTGTGGATGCCAGCCAGCGTTTTGCTCGCTTTACTAGCCGCAGCATCACAGAAGTTGGGCTAGAGGGACCCCCTGAAGCACGATCATCCCTGTCCAAACCATCCCATATAAGCCAGAACCTAAACTCTGCATAAAAGACAACCATGGACCCTGACACAATGCAGACCTAAGACACCCGAAGCTGCCACAGGTAAAGCAGGGGAACCACAGTAGCTAAATGTCCTGCTTCTGTGAAGTGTTGTCAAATTGTACTCAAGAGATCCTGGGTAGAAGGCAGAAACCCCCACAGTCCATACAAATATATTCCATATGTATATAAGAATCTTATTTCTATATGCACACATACACATATGTATGCATGTGTGTGTGTGAGTATGTGTACACACACACACATACACACATATAGATATACACATACACGCGCTATTCCTATTGTGCGTGTGTGAGTGTGTATGTATGTATGTGTATATATATGTGTATGTATATATATATGTGTATGTGTGTGTATCTATATCTATCTATCCATCTAGCTATATATCTACTATAGGTAGACAAGGAACTTTGGGTAAATGTGATATCTTTTATTAGACCAACTAAAACAAGACTAACTATAACTCAACTAAAATAATTCCTAATTATGATATTAAAAATTATATATCTATATCTATCTAGATATAGATCTAGATAGATATAGATATATATATAATTTTGCAGTTAGAGGGCAGGCTAGAGGTGCACCTTTATAGACTAACAGAATAAGTAATAGGAGAGGTGAAAAACACTAAACTCTGAGGAAAAATCCTGGCTGATTATGACCTCCCCTGGTGCTTGCCTTCATAGTCCAAAGAAGGTTCTAGTCTATTTTTATTAACAGCTCATACTCCTAATAATAAAGTACTTTAGATCTAGGGTTGGATAGCTAACATTCCTTGAATAATACATACTTAGTTAAATGTTATGATTTTTTCCCTTATATGCACATGCGTACAAGCACACATATACAAGGGTGTATCTCTGCCCTGCCTTCTGACTTCCTGGCATGTCCAGACATGACATGAGAATGGCGGCAGTCAGTGGCATTTCCCCAGCATGCCCTGCGGGCAGGGGGTGCAGTTGAGTTCAGGACCTGGCCCACGTTGCGCAGGGTGCAGGGATCAGAAATAGCAGCATGTGCTTACATCACTGATTCAAAAGCTACCAAAACGGGATACCCAAGGCCCCTGCAAGGTGCTAGTGAAGAGAGGTGAAGATCTCTAGTGATGCGGCTCTATACAAGTGCTGGGAGTTGAAGCGTGTTGAACAAATTGCAGTTTGTTTGGACAAACAGACCATTTCTTTGTACTGCCAACTTTGAAATCTGCAGAGACACCCCCATGCTTCTCATATAGCAGGAAGCATGGTGCTGTGAATCCTTGGCACTGAGGGAGCCCTTCAGGTATTCCACATTTGTAAAGAATTGCAAGCACTGGGGCAGGACTGTTGGGACCGACTGGAAGATCTGCTCAGCAGCTTTTCATAACATGACTACTATAAACATTCGGAAAGAAAAAAGTAGGAAATGGGCCCAGTCCTGCAACACATTATTCATAGGATAGCCTTAGTGTCGGTCTATTGACTGGGATGCTGTACACCCCTAGAAAATACAGCTGTAATCCTGTGCTTGGTGCTGAGTCCCAGGGACAGTTTTGAAAACGTCAGACGTGTCTTTATAGGGATTCCTGAACTGGATTTCAAGCGGCAGCCAGCAACATGAAGATTTAACCCTGCACACATTATATGTGCCTAGCTTGGAGGGTTAAAATTATACACCCTTGTAGGGAGAACATTTTCCAAAACACAGGTCAAAGAGTTTTAATCTCAAAATTTAGGGGAAAAAACACACGAAAAGAACCAGATTCCCAGTTCCTGGTGAAACGTCATTGAAAAGTTTTTTAAACGTGTAAACACAGAAAAACACCAAATAACCACATTCCTGTTAACCCCATATCCAGCCAACCCCATGTTGTTTCTGCAGCGGGGGTTGTTTCTTTCTCTGCTTGTTCTGTAGTGTCCCTTTTTTATTTGGAAATCTTGTTCTTTCTGAGAGTTTTGAAACTGTTTTCCCATATCCCTTATATATTAACACGGTGCTTTAAAACTGTGGAGAAAAGTAACTTTTCATGGCTTTAGGGGGGAAGGGGGAGTTCAGGAAGGGGTATGAGCTGTCTTGGTGTAACTATTACCTCTGCAGGTCTACAAATGAGCTAAGCCCTGTATATTTAAACTTGAATGAAACAAAACTAAAGTCACAAGGGTTTTGCTACACTTGCAGTACTACAGGAACAGACAGTTACTTGACATGGTGATGGATCAATGCATGTGTTCGTAACTCCGCAGGGATCAGTCCCAGCTAGTGCAATTGGCGGCCTGCGTATCCCTCATTATGCATCAGCAAATAGATCATTCAGCAGCATTATGAGGAGGTCTGAGAACTAGAAATCATCTGTAGACTGCCTTAATTTACATTTTAACTGACTGGCTTTCTTGCATCCGTACCAACCCCTGGCTGCTTTACCACTCCATCCAGGAAGAGCACGGACCATTTGCAGACGCTTCCTCAGCCTGACGAAGGGTGTTTGTGCCCAAAGGGCTTGCTAAGAAGAATTTTTCCAACTATTTGAATTGGTTGAATAAAAGATCCTGGATTTACCCAAAGAAACTTGTCTGTCTGTAAGCTAGGACATTGCTCCTGAAAATGCTCCCCCATGTGAGTGACTTTCGGTACTGCCAGCCCTATACATCCAGAAGTCTTGAGACGGGCGTAAAGGTCCCTGTCCATGTGTATTCCCCAGTGTGAATCACTCCCTGGATTGAAATCTTGGCCTCACGGAAGCGACTTCAGTGGCACCAGGAGCTGAGTCAGCCCCAGGGCTTCTGTCTTTTGCAGCCTCACTTGGGTAGCAGAATTTGGAGGAAATGCTCAAGCACCCTTATACCAGGCATGAAGGTGACCCCCCTACCTCAGCTCACCAGCTGCAGGTGCCCCTGCTGCACCGCACAACAGACTCCTCAGTGCTGCAGACTGGCCTGCACCCTGCTACCCCCCTGGGGCAAGCACAAGAAACAGAAGCCAGAGGGAACTTGGAGAACCTGGTGCAGCCAGTGAGAAGAGAAGCAGGAGCTGGGTGGGAGTCTGGGGGATGCAGATTAATCCCTTGTGGGCTGCATGCAACCTGTAGATCAGTAGCTGGACAGCCCTAGACTAACTAACTAACTAGCCATTGATTAAGTGAGCTCTGCCTCATGAAAGCTCATGCATCTCCACCCTAGCTTGCTCCGAGGGTCTTATGGCTAAGGGCAAGCAAAACTCGGGGCATCCGAACCCCGAGCCTCTGGGCTTGGGCCTGTGAGTAGGATGCCCGCCAAAGGTTTTGGAAGCATCTGAAGGCCCAGGTGTGGGTGGAGGATGTTTGCCAGTAGTAGGGCCACTTGTGGTTCTGGACACTCAGATTTGGAATAAGTTTTGGCTAATTTGGCTGTGGATACACATTAAAAAAATCTCCATATTAGTCAGTCGATAAGGTGTATCTCTACCTGACTTCTGTCTGACTTCAGACTAAAATGGCTAACTACCTCTCTCCTTTCAATAGCATGAATGGCATGAATTTCTAGATACCC